ACCCCAACGATCGTTCTCTTTGCCAAACCTGCCGTGTGATTCTGTCTTCATGCGGGAAAACTCATCACAGAGGTTGTAATCGTACTTCAGTCGTGCTCTCTCAATCAAGTAGCCCCAGGAACTGCCATGCACTTCGTAACCGGTAAGGATGTCGGGATCATGGTTCCTTACGATTTCGACCATTCGAACCATGAGATCCAGTTCGGAATTTTCTTCAATAACCTCGGCATTGGTCTGTCGCTGGATCCGCTGAGTAAACTCGGCGTCATTTGACAACAGCAGGATACCTGTTTGGACACCAGCTGAATCTTGGCTGCCGGTAGCAGTTCCATCAGATTTGATCGCCCAGAACACACACTGGACTTCATCTTCCTCGGGATTGGGCACAAACTTTCCTCTGGTATTTACGTGAACCTCCAAGCTCATGGTGCTCATGTATTGAATCTCATGCTGGACGCTGGTTGATTTCTTGCCCGGGGTGTACTTGAATCCGTGCTTGTTCTTTGGCGTGGGTCCATCGATCTGAGATTGATATTGCCTAGGAGTCGATGATATTTTGAACCCTTCCGTTGCATTTGCTCTGCGTTCCTTTTCTGCCCACCACTCCTCGACTTCTTGATATGTAGGCGGTGGATTTGTAAGCTCCCAACTTCTCAGCGAGCACTTCTTCCTCTGTCGCTCATACCGAAGTTCTGCAGTGGTCTTGTCAAAAGTCTCATATTTGAGCCCGTAGTTGGCTGGAGCTGTCCCTGTTGGGTCAAATTCGGGTAGAAAAGGCAGTGTGTTGCTCTCCAGTCGAAACTCCTTCCCAGCATATTCTCGCATCCGCCCAGGGACATCCTTCTCCCTGCTGTAATAAGCATCTTGATAGATCACGTCAGGAAGCCCGTATTGTTTCAAAGAGGAAGCCACAGCGGCTGCAGAAGGGGGTAGAGAAGACACCAAGTATACTTGCTGGCTGGCGAATCGACTCATGGCTCTCTGGATTTTCGATTCATTGCTTTCATCTTCTTCACGTCCTCCAGACGATTTCATGGAAGATGACAAAGCCATTTGAGACAACTCCGCTTCAGCAGGGAGAAAACTGCTGGGATCAAACGAAACATGCTTGGTGTGACGGCCATCATCGGTCTGCTGAGAAGCAGACTTCTGGCTCATCTGGCTGAGACGAAGTTTGGTGTTCGGATCATTCTGATCTTTGACGGTAGGAAAATTTAGCTTTTGGTTGGAGCCGGAAGCACCTTTCAATACAGAACCGGTGTTTTTGTTAAGCGATGGAGGACCTTTAAGAATGGAAGCTCCTCTGAAGGAGGAGGCGAGATTTTTGTTGGCGTCTGTTGAAGGAACGGGAACTAGGTCCATTTCATCTTCATCTACCATGGACAGTTGATTGAGTCTTGTCCTTTTGTTCGATGCCTGGGATGATAGAAGATCATCGAGCGGTCGCTTGAGCTGGGTCAAATTAGACGAGGTGAGCGTCGGTGCTTTCTCCGTCCGTCCGATAAACCCTTCGTCCTCTGCATAATCAAGCAACTCTTGGTTCACCGGGAGGTCAGGAAGTTCGCCAGTCACCAGGCTACTTTGACAGATCCCAAGGGCCGACCTCCAGAATGTCTTTTTATCAAATTTGTCGGGATTGATGTTGAGAGCCGCCGCTAGTTCAAGATCCTCTTGTGGTAGTTGGTCTGTTGGTCCGCGAGAAACTTTTGCGGCAGCCTTCTCTATTGCTACGAGCGCCGCAATGACATCTTCATCAGAGTCTTCAGGGTAGAAGTCATTGTGTGCCTCTCCAACCTGACGCACTTTACCCTCATCAACGACAATACTGCTTCGCAGATCTTGTTCCGCCTCCATACCGAAGGGCAATCCTAAAGCTGGTGCAAGTTTCGATGGGAAAAGGTCTTCAACTGACTCCAAAGTAGTATTAACATGCTCTTCGTATGGATGCGGCTTTGCAAACGTCTCAAAAGTAAGCTCTTCCGGGTCAACGCTGAGCTTCTCTTCAGAGATGAGATTTTGGATCTCAGTCCTGAATTCTTCCTCATGAAGCCAGCCTTGCGGTTGAGAGTCGCGAGCGTTGGCTGACATTGACACAAGGACTTCTGGTGGAAATGGACTGCTGCCCTCAGTCAGATCTTGCATCTTTCGTTTGCGTCTCTTCGTCTCATCTTTCCACAGTCCAGCCATGCTGTAGACAAGCTTCATGTCTCCAGGAAGGGGATTGGTTCTTTCCGTAAAGCCATGATGGAGAGGCCTTTCCTTGACCTTGTGTCGGTTGATAATATCCTGTACACATATATCCACTTCTATCGAGCAGTGGCTACTTCGAGGAAGCGTGGTTTCGTCGGTAATGTGATCAACAGAGATTGATCGACTGTGCCATTTGTGCAATGAACTCGATCCCTGTTCATATTCTGGAACTGGAGATCGAAACCGAGCAACGGATGCATCCAGATAATCACACCCATATAAGTTGAAGTCTGTCATGAATTGAAGAAGGTACTGAAGGTGTGCTTCGTATGGCTGAAACTTGTTCTTCATAATCACGCCTTGCTGAAGAAGATCCGCCAATCTCGTCATGACAATGGGATTGAACATGTAAATCTTCAAGAAGAAGCGATACCCCACGTGAAAGCCATAGAAGGGGACACCCTTGACAAGAGTGATCCTTGCCACGAACCTTGCACTGTCACCTTTCTGATCTCGTCGATAGCTGACTGCTAACGCATGATCTATGGACAGATGAAATCGATATATATAAGCACCGACTAGATATTTTAGTGCCAACAGATGTTTACTGGAGTATACACGACGAACCTTCATCAGGACTTAAGCCTCCTTCATATTCCACGTACAAGTACGGAAATGCGCCGTGAATATGGGCGCATACTTTTTGTCCCGTTTCAGTAGACCCAAACACGCGAACAACAGGAACTCTGGGTCCCTTGGATATCTGGGAGGGGCGAATGTCGTTACGAAGCTGGGGGTCATATCGCGAGGGTGTCGCTTGATAGTGATCGATACAATTGAGTCTGACCCGGAACAAGTCCATATTCTTTGAAGTTTGGATCCATCAGGGGCTTAATACTGTTTATTAAGAACAGAAGAGCCAAACATTGCTCAAAAAAGTGTTCTTAATAAGCTCAATTCACTCTGAAGGTCTTTGTGTAACCTCGACTGCTTATGAGACGCGTTTTGCTATGGCTACCAGCCTCTTACAGACGCGCGCGGTCACGTGCTGATAAGACTGCTTATCTAAACAACTTTCCGCTCTAGGCTCAGTGATCTGCGACGGAGGCATCACCCGTTTTGACTTCTGAACATTTGGCTCTGATTTTTTATCTCGTTGTGTGAAAGTCGCACGTTTCAATAGACGGAAAAGCTATACATTGCTCGCCATGCCTACCGCACCCGCAAAACCACCGCCCCCAAGTACTGGCCCTGGAGGCGCTGGTGCCGCTTTGAAGGAAGAGAACATCTACATCCCATCCTTCATCAGTAAACGCCCGTTCTACGCCGGCGAAGAAGGCGACGAGAATGATTACCTCCAGCATCAGCGCCGCGAAGAGAAGAACGATAAGTCTCAATGGTATGATCGAGGTAGAAAGGCCGGCCCAGCGGCCACCAAGTACCGCAAAGGTGCTTGCGAAAACTGCGGCGCCATGACTCACAAGAAGAAAGACTGCCTGAGTCGGCCACGAGCCAAGGGTGCGAAATGGACAGGCAAAGACATTCAGGCCGATGAGGTGATTCAAGATGTCAACATGGGATGGGACGCCAAGCGCGATCGCTGGAATGGATACGATGCGAAGGAGTATCGCAGTGTGGTCGATGAGTTCAACCAGATGGAGGAGCTACGCAAGCAGGCCACCAAGGACGGAAATGCCGATGAAGAGACAGAAGAAGGCGACAAGTATGCGGAAGAGAATGATATGAGCAAACATCAGAGCACAGCAACACGACAACTGCGAATACGAGAGGACACAGCCAAGTATCTTTTGAACCTCGATCTAGAATCTGCCAAGTACGATCCGAAAACGCGATCACTGGTCGATGCAGGTGCAACGGCAGACAAGGCAGCGGATGCATTCGCGGAAGAGGGTTTCATGCGATCCTCAGGCGATGCTGGCGCATTCGAGAATGCTCAGCGATACGCTTGGGAGGCTCAAGAAAAGTCTGGTAACACAAGCCAGCATCTGCAAGCAAACCCCACAGCAGGAGAGTTTTATCGGAAGAAGGAGCTGGAGGAGGCAGAGGCAAAGCGTGCGGAACGAGAGAAGTTACTGCTCGAGAAGTACGGTGGAGATCAGAAGGCTATGCCGGCTGCTTTGCGCAACATGGCTATCACCGAATCCGAGACGTTTGTTGAGTACGATGAGGCTGGTTTGATCAAGGGTGCGCCCAAGAAGGTGGCCAAATCCAAGTACGCTGAAGATGTTCTCATCAACAATCATACTTCAGTATGGGGAAGCTGGTGGTCCAACTTCAAATGGGGCTACGCTTGCTGTCATTCGTTCATAAAAAACAGTTACTGTACTGGTGACGATGGAAAATTGGCATGGGAGGCGGCTGAGCGTCAACGAACTGGGGCCAACCTGGTCAATGATGATGAAGAGGAGACAGAGGAGCCTTCAAAGGAGGAGGCAGAGAAGAACAGAGAGGAAGAGCAGCCGCGCAAGCGGACAAGAGAAGAAATGATGAATGGTGTGACAGAAGAGGAAATGGATGAGTATAGGAGGAAACGGACTGTGACGAACGACCCAATGGCAAAGCTGCTGGGCAAGGATGAACTTTTATCATAGCGATGCATTACTATACATAATTACAACACTGTTACATACCATGGGCATCAGATACATGGCGACAGCTACATTGACATTGAAACATTCACAGCAAATGAATAATTATGGGTGGATGTCGTGATTGGATTCATGTTTCATGAGATTCATGTACACAGGTGGAGAGACACCGGGAAATTTTTGTTTGTCGTTATCCGGTGAAATCATTCCATTTTTATCCTCTGGCCAACGCCGCAAGCTATGAAGAGAATCCCCTTCCCATGAGTGGTATTCCATCACCAAGTGCCCTAGACAGGGGGAATCGTTTTTGCATTTTTGGTTGCATTTACTCCTCGTCCTCCTCATCCTCACCCCCCTCACCGCCAGCAGCGGCGGCGGCCTTCTTTCTGCGGACACGGCCGGGACGGCCACCACCGAAGGGCGAGGTAAGAGCGAAGTCGATGTGCTTCTGGGAGTCGAGACGGACGATGAAAGAGGGAACGTTGACGATCTGCTTTCCGACTCGGATGTGACGCTGGCGGATCAGAACACGGGCGTGGTGGATAGACTTGGCAAGACCGAGCTTCCAGACACAGGTCTGGAGACGGCGCTCAAGGAAATCCTCGATCTTAAGAGCCAGGACGTAATCGAGCTTCATGCGGGACTCGTCAAGGACACCGACACGGACGAGACGTCGAATGAGGGCATTGCCTTCGAAGAGACGCTTGGGGTCCTTCTCGTCGAGGGTAAGAAGCTGACTGTAAAATTGGTTAGAAGACTCTTCCTCATCAGCGCACACAAAAAGTGCAAAGGTTTACATACCGAGCAGCACGACGGATCTTGGACAGAGTCAGACCGACTCGCCAGACCTCACGCTTGTTGCGCAGGCCATACTCGCCGACGAGCTTCAACTCGGAGTCACTATTGTTTTTCGGTCAGTCTTCATTCACATACGACTTAAACAGAGACAAGCTCATGCTCAGTGGCCGGTGATACTGACAGTCGGGCAGACTCGAAGGGTCGGCGGGGGACACGGGAGGTCTTGGAGTGGGCGCGGGGAGGCATCCTGAAGACTTTGTTAATTGATATTCTTTGGTGATGCACTCGTGGCGGCGGTGATATACTCACTTGACTTGCTCCTTGGGTGTTCTGCGGGAGTTGAACTTTCTCACAAGACACGAATCGTAGCAAAATGTGCGGACAGAAATTTGGCGGAGCTAGCGGTCACGTGCGCCAGCTGAACCCTAAGACGCAGGTGCGACCCAACCCACAATCGCCCTTGCCCTACTGAGGTGGGAAAAAACTTTCGGAAAATCTGAGGTCCCGCTCCCACAAGGCCGCCTTCGAGAAATCCACAACACCAAAGCGAAGGACTTCACCATCTCTTTCGCCAACCACGACTACTAACCCCAACCCGACCGGTACCGGCATATCACATTCGAGATGGGTCACTCCTACGGAAAGAGAGCGGGCACCCGCGTATGTTCAACCACCGATTCCTGCGAGAATGAAGTTTCGACGACGTCGGCATGAGACTGACGATGTGAATTTTTTAGTATGCCTTCAGCCGGGACTTCCGCAAGAAGGGTATGATTGCCCTGAACACCTATCTCCGACAGTACCGCGTTGGTGATATCGTCGACATCAAGGCGAACGGTGCCGTCCAGAAGGGGTAAGCAGAGCTCCCTTTGCCATCATGCGACAATACACGCGAAACTGCGAGACTTGGACGCTTTTTGGAGGAATTCCTGTGGGCATTGGAACAGGAGGGCTAACAATGGTCACAGTATGCCCTTCAAGGTGTACCACGGCAAGACTGGTGTCATCTACAACGTCACCAAGTCTGCTGTCGGTGTCATCATCTACAAGCAGGTGAAGCACCGATACATCGAGAAGCGAATCAACGTCCGAATCGAGCACATCCAGCAGTCCCGATCTCGTGAGGACTTTCTCAAGCGAGTCAAGGCCAACGCCGAGGCCAAGAAGGAGGCCAAGGCCAACGGTACCGTCGTCCAGGTCAAGCGTCAGCCCGCTGGACCCCGTGAGGCTCACACACTGTCGCTCGCCGACAACCCTCCTCAGACCGTCACTCCTCTTCCCTACGAGACTACGATCTAAAAGAAAAGAATTGCGGGGTTGGTGGTGCTGGCTTCTATTTACCTGGGGTATTGCGTCCGGATGGGAAACTCTGCATGGCAAGGGCTTGCATTTTGATGTCCATAGGCAATGAGACCAAAAAAAGACATCGTTTGAAGCATGCCGCTGTCTGTATCTGAAGATACCTTAAGTGAAATGTGCCTGGCCCATATAATGGGCATGGCGTCTGCTTGACGTATGAATGAACTGACGTTTCTCCATCATTCATTCCGTGTGATTGACCGATGTCGTTTTCTTATATATTGAGGTGCACGGTGGATGCCAAACACAGATTCGGGTCCATTACTGGATCGACAAGTATCACATTATGGCTCATCTAGTTATGTCATTTATTAATAAGAGGCCTCGTTACACTATACTTGCAGCCATTCCAGTTTCGTCGTGATATTAACATTGTCGTCAGTAGAGACGCTCAAAATGATCCAAGGCTTCCATGTCTAAGGACATCAATTCGATTGTCCCAGTCCGCCTACCCTGTACCTTTTATGTTGTTCTCATGTTATTCAGATGCCCTGCCATGACTTACATACGAACAAAATACTTTACTCGGCATTTCATTCTAGGCGTTACGTCTAAGTGCCACTCGAAACTTCTTTCAATACGATAGTCACAAGTTTAATTCCTCGCCAATTGTGTCCATCTCCACGTCGTTCTTGAAAGTTCAGAGTGAACTCGTCGTAGACAGCACTATACTTATAGAAACTCATGAAAGAAGACGATATGAGTTGTTGCTACACTACTTAGATAGGCTCATTTCGTATGTCGAGGATGATAATGTAACAAAGAGCCTTACAATGCCGTACATGAGTCGAGTTGACCCTGTACGTTGCAAGTATTGGGTGGGACTCTCAGCTGAGAATGAAAGCTTTCTGTATATGCTTGGCTTAGATTGTGTTACTCTATGTACATATGTAGCTCGAGAGCTGAACAAGATAAATGTTGTATGTGAATACCTGAGAAGTCTGCAAGATTTTAGAGTTCACTTTACGAGAGCTTTGAATAATTCATGAGCATATTATATAAATTTTACCATGAATGCTCCTCAACTTTAAACATTTCATAAAATATGAGAAAACACCGCTCAGCTCTGTTCTTTCATGTAGTCATACTCCAACAACTCTGCCGAACTTGTAATTATTTCAAGATGCGTCTACCATTATATATATTACAGAATATACTAGCTGATGCTATAAAACCATGTCTTGAACCTTTCAAAGTGCTCGTCTAAGTGTGATACCTAACTTGGCCACCAATTCAAGGAAGCTGACTGAAGTCTTCAACAGCCGTGCCCCACACAACGGACGATACGTACCCTGTATGACGCTCGCCTCTTGGCTCTTGCGGCCCAGCCACTGAAGCTACTACGACATCCATCGAATCGCAGAGACGAGCCACGCCCAAGAGCCGCCCAAGATTTGTCAAGGCTGACGACGACCGCGAATACTCGATCTACAGCCGCATTCTCACAAACCTCAGTCCCTCGATCTCTTTAATCATCCTTTCATTTCTTACGGTTTACTCTCTGCCTAATCTCCTAAGCTTGCGCGGCGTCGGCTTGACTGGGAAATTGTCTCGTGATTTCCAGGGGCTACTATAGCATCGTCGAAGACCTGACCAACTTTCCTTGCACAAACATCTTTACCCATTATCGAATAATAGCGTCGCGGAGCTTGCCCGCCACCAATTGCAAACATGGCTGCTGCTGTGCGCGGCACCGAGCATACCAAGTCAGCGACACCGTCACGTTTCATGACCGCCAAGCTAACCCCGTCATCGTGCGCAGAACCGATCAAGAGCTCGCTATCAACATCAAGAAGGCTACAAACGTCGAGGAGATCTCTCCAAAGCGAAAGCATGTCCGAGCATGTATCGTCTATACATGGGACCATCGGTCCTCCGCCGCCTTCTGGTCCGGCATCAAGGTGTACGTCTCATACGTCCTCATCATGACAACTTCCGCTGATCGACTACCAACAGCCAACCTATCCTAGCCGATGAAGTCCAGACATTCAAGGCCCTGATCACGATCCACAAGGTACTCCAAGAAGGCCACCCCAGTGCTCTCAAGGAGGCAATGGCAAACCGCGCATGGATCGATAGCTTGAACCGCGGAATGGGCGGAGGAGAAGGCATGCGCGGTTATGCGCCTCTGATCCGCGAATACGTCTATTACCTACTTGCGAAGCTCTCCTTCCACCACCAGCACCCTGAGTTCAACGGAACTTTCGAGTATGAGGAGTACCTGAGCTTAAAGGCCATCAACGACCCTAACGAAGGCTATGAAACCATCAGCGATCTGATGGTGCTGCAAGATAAGATCGAGCAGTTCCAAAAGCTGATCTTCTCGCACTTCCGAAATGTAGGAAACAACGAGTGCCGAATTGCCGCCCTCGTGCCCCTTGTTCAGGAGAGCTACGGAATTTACAAGTTCATCACGAGCATGCTGCGCGCAATGCATTCAAGTCAGTGACTCACTCCCCCACCCCTCTTTAGGATCCTTAGGGTTAACATCAACAAAGCAACCGGAGATGACGAGGCCCTTGAGCCCCTTCGTGAACGTTACAACGCGCAGCATTATCGCTTAGTTAAGTTCTACTACGAATGCTCAAACCTTCGGTACCTTACCAGTCTCATCACCATCCCCAAGCTTCCTCAAGATCCTCCCAACCTCTTGGCGGAAGATGACGATGCACCTGCGCTACCCGCGCGACCGAAGCAGGAGATTGAGCGAAAGCCGTCTCCTCCGCCCGAGCCCAAGAATGACGCACCTGATGAGATGAATGAATTCTGGAAGAGCGAGTTGGATCGTCAGAACCGAGAGTACGAAGAGCAGCAGCGCATCCTTGAGCAGCAACAACAACAAGCTCTCCTGGCCCAGCAGCAGGCACAACTTCAGGCTCAGCGTGAGTTTGAGCAGCAACAACAGCAACTGATGGAGCAGCAACAGCGAGAGCAGGAGGCGCTCATGGCGCAACAAGCGCAATGGCAAACTCAGGGACGCCTGGCCGAGCTGGAGCGTGAAAACCTGAACGCGCGCGCTCAGTATGAGCGTGATCAACTGATGCTCCAACAGTACGACCAACGAGTCAAGGCTCTCGAGGGTGAGCTGTCGCACATTCAGAACAGCCTTGGCCAGCAAATGAACAGCAAGGATGATCAGATTCGGGCTCTTCAAGAGCAGGTCAACACATGGAGGACGAAATATGAGGCACTGGCCAAGCTCTACTCTCAGCTGCGACACGAGCATCTCGATCTGCTTCAGAAGTTCAAAGCCGTTCAACTCAAGGCGGCCAGCGCCCAGGAGGCTATCGATCGACGTGAGAAGCTCGAGCGTGAGATCAAGACCAAGAACCTCGAGTTGGCCGACATGATCCGTGAGCGTGACCGCGCCCTTCACGACAAGGACCGCGCGACTGGCAGCAGCAAGGATGAGGTTGAGAAGCTCAAGCGCGAACTTCGCCTGGCCCAAGACAAGGCCGATAACCTCGAGCGTAGCAAGGGCAACGAGCTTTCGACAATGCTTGCCAAGTACAACCGTGAGATGGCGGATCTGGAGGAGGCACTGCGCAACAAGACACGACAGCTGGAGGATGCTCAGATGAACCTCCGCGACGGCAGCTCTGACCTCGAGCAGCTCCTCCGTGACAAGGAGGAGGAGCTTGAGGTGTACAAGGCGGGCATGGATCAGACTCTCATCGAGCTCAACGAGCTCAAGATGAACCAGGGTGACACCGACCATGCTTTGGATGGCCAGATCGATGCCCTCATCATGTCCAACCTTGACAAGATCAACGACATTATCGACTCTGTTCTCCAGGCTGGTGTTGCGCGTGTGGATGATGCGCTCTACGAGTTGGATTCCAGCATGCAGGCTGGTAACCAGAATGCGTCTCCCTCTTATGTACTGTCACAGATCGAGAAGGCCTCAGCTAGTGCTATGGAATTTGCTACATCATTCAACAACTTCATCGCAGATGGACCAAATGCGACACATGCTGACCTTATCAAGGCCATCAACGTCTTCTCTGGTGCCATTGCCGATGTCTGCAGCAACACCAAGGGTCTTACCCGTCTAGCTACAGATGATAAGAAGACCGATGCTCTCATGAACGGAACCCGCCAGCCCGCTATCTCAGCTGTACAGTTCCTCCGAGGTCTTCAGAGCTTCCGACTCGAGGGCATGGATCCCTTGCAGAAGACAGACGTGGTCATCAACAGCAACAACGACGTTCAGATGAACTTGCAGAAGCTCAACAAGCTTGTTGAGTCGTTTGCTCCTGGCTTTGGCAAGCTCGCCAACAAGAAAGGAGACTTGGGTGACCTCGTCGACCAGGAGCTCAGTAAAGCTGCAGATGCAATTGCGGCAGCCGCTGCGCGACTGGCCAAGCTCAAGAACAAGCCTCGTGATGGCTACTCAACCTATGAGCTCAAGGTGAACGACTCGATCCTGGATGCGGCGACGGCGATCACCAACGCCATTACGCAACTGATTCAGGCGGCGACAGTGACACAGCAGGAGATCGTACAGGCAGGTCGTGGATCGACGTCACGAACAGCGTTCTACAAGAAGAACAACCGATGGACTGAGGGACTGATCTCTGCCGCCAAGGCTGTGGCGTCGTCGACTAACACTCTGATCGAGACAGCAGATGGAGTCATCTCTGGGCGCAACAGTCCAGAACAACTCATCGTGGCCTCGAACGATGTGGCGGCGTCGACTGCCCAGCTTGTGGCTGCCAGCAGAGTTAAGGCAGGGTTCATGTCCAAGAGCCAAGAAAAGCTCGAGCAGGCCAGTAAGGCGGTGGGTGCGGCATGTCGAGCACTGGTACGCCAGGTGCAGAGCTTGATCAAGGAGCGTAGCCAAGAGGAGGACCAGGTGGACTACTCCAAGCTCGGAGCGCACGAGTTCAAGGTGCGGGAGATGGAACAGCAAGTAAGTTTAGCAGCCTCCCCCGTCATGTGTTTGGCAACCCTTTCCCCTGGTCGCCTCTCTCTCATCTCCCCCTGTCGTGGCATCACATATCACATCACAACTACCATGACACATCGACACCCCTCACAGGTCCAGTTAATTCCGGGGCCAGTGCGTTCGTAACGGTTACTATATCCGGCAAAGTTTATTTTAGCCCCCTCGTGAAAGATGATGGACTGACAAGCCACCAACAATCAACAGGTCGAGATCCTCCAATTGGAGAATGCCTTAGCGTCGGCTCGACATCGTTTGGGCGAGATGCGGAAGATCTCATACCAAGAAGAGTAAAGACGCAGATTTGGGTCTGCTGAAGGCATCCGCAGCTTCAGCCTCAATTATCGACACCCGACCAATGATAGCTCAGGAGTGAGACTGCACAACCAAAGGAGACACACAAACACCAACCCCAGAGCCCCCCTTGGATAGTAAGGTATTAGAGTTGATGGGGATGGCTTGCACTTGCTTAGCCTTGGTCGATTTTCGTATGGCACGCGGAGGAGAAGAAAGTCTGGGCATTTGAGCATGGACGATTACACTCCCATTTCTTACATTTCATTTCGCGACGCGAGCAAAGACGCGAGATATAGACGGACTACCCGTAACCGTCACCGGTCCGTACAGTGCCGGAGGATTTCATGAAGAACGAAAGCCGTGGTCCCTGTCGATGGAACCGTGTTTTAGTCCACCTTAGTGTCTGTTGGGCCGGCGATGCGGATAGTGTTTCTTGTGTTACTAGTTAGAAACAGGCGTAGCTTAGCGAAATATGTTCACTTTCCGAATTCCTGGATATGTAAGACATGTGTTGAGATTCTCGTTTCTTGTGCTGCTGGAGCTGAGTCCGGGGAGTCGGACGGTGAAGCGATTGATCAGGCTCAGACAGGCTGAGAGCCGACACGCTCGCGAAACGAAGTGGTATGCACATGCCTTGTGCAAACTGCGTCAACGATGTTACGCAAACAGCTGTATCCTGGTCATGTCTGCGTCTGTCGAGTGTATGTGAAACTGTCGGAAGCTGCCAATCGGATACTGTACTAGGGAGCTATGCTCTTGATAGCTAGAATACTTACGATAACCCTGCCCTTGTCAATTGGTCTGTAAGTAGCAGAACATCATCAGATGATCAATTGCATTCGAAGGAGCAACTGGAGATCCTGGTCGTCAGACAAGTGCAAGAAGATGCAAAGAATCAACGATGGCTCTGCGCGACCATCGTCGATTACAAGGGCACCTTGCTTCCAAAAGCAATTCTGCACTGGTTACGCCACCAAATCATAGCAGCAGCAATTGCACCTTGCAAGATACTCAGTGAAGAGGAACTAATCAGAACCATCCCAAGCAAGAATTCCTCGAAACAGAGCTCTCTAATAGTGTTGGATATCGGTTTAGAATGTCCTTGTGCTTTACTGCCGCCACTGACTTAAAACTCAGAGTGGACAGTCTTGACAGTCTGTGATCTTAGCCTGGTTCTTGGTCTTTACGATCGCTGATGGCGAGACTCCGAAGCTCACGTGCAATAGTGGAGACGTACGCGCACGCCCTCCATAATTTAATGACTACACACCCACCCACTTAAGTCTCTCCAAACCACCTCCCTCAGTAAGACTTCAGCTCGACAACTCCACCATCATAGCATCAAACAATACTGGCTCATTTTGTCAGCAACTATTCACGATTCATTCTTTCGATATTCTGGTATCAACATGTTTTCAAGACTCTTTCGCCGCTTGCGTCCCGCGCGAATTCGTCGAGCGCCGCCTCCTAGGCGCATAGCACCACCCGCTGACGCTCAGCTTGGTGGCAAGTACCCATCTCCCGAGCAAATGAACAGATACATATATGACACAGCCATGGCTTGGAACGCTGCTGGTAAGCCTTTTCCCTTACTATAGCAAACCAGTAACTTACCAACTAGATGCACAAATGTCATGGATCTCGAGGATGCTGCGCAAACCCTTCCAGAAGACGGTACACACTATCGGTGTGATTATCGCAATCTTGGTATAGACATTCAGATATGATTCTAATACTGTTTCAGACAGCTATCTTAGGTGTTCAAGAGCACGTTACAGCCATGGTCATGGACTCTAGGAGACTCTGCACAAGTTCATATAGCGTCCTAGGCCTCTTCTACTTGTCTTTTTAGCAATTACTACGACTTCAGTGTTCAATAGCGACCAAGGATCAGGGATACTATTATACACCAGGGTGTCCCTATATATGGTAGCTTCAATACAACATCAGCGTCCAATTTCTTCGCCCAGATCGTCGAGGACCAGGGTCTGCAGACTGTGTGATCTCGCACTGTACCTTAAACCCTGTGTCCTTTAACCGTGAGCATTGCCAAGAGTCTGACAGCCAATCATTCCAGCTGTCAATAGCGTTGCGCTTTCCCACCTTCAGATCTCGTTGTGGGTCGTACTAAACATAATTCCGACCTCACTACTAAGCATGTAGGGAAAACCAAGACTAGTAATTGTGTGTATTGACCTTGCTATGCAGTTCCCGGTAAAGGATTCCCCCCAACTGTAACTTCACAGACTTACGAGAGAATTCTCGCCGATCAGGTATCATTTCAAATCATCTCATTTCCATCCCGAAACTGCCTAGTTGCACCGCATACTGAATTCATGATGGTAATCCAAGATTAAGAGCCATCGTGGCAATTCACCTTGACATTGTTTTACGCCATCAGAACTTCTATTTGTGTGTCAGGAACAATCGGAGTTTCTGAACAGGAAGTACTTACACTGCTGCTACATCTTGGATTGCTTCTCATGTAGGTACTGGTCAATAGACCAGGCGCTGGAGATGTCAATGATGCTTGTGTCGATGACATCGTAGAGGTCAAACTCAGAAACCTGGGGGAGGCACTGCGAAGGCATGCGGAAGTTGTAGAGAGTGTTGCTCTCCATAGGCGAGTCCGCCACAGAAATCTGAACATTCTGGAAAGAAGTGAGATCCTGCACTTCCCAGGAATGAACGAAACGATTTCCGAAAAAGGCGGCGTCGTATTCGGGACCAAAAAGATCGTGAGCAGCAAGGTTGCGGCTCTCACGAACTGCGTTGATGAAACTGACTTTCTCGGCTGTCGTTGGAACAGACTCGTAGAGCGGTTGAGTAGTGGCGACACTGTTGCCAGCGGTAGCACTTGTAGTGGTCATGATGCCATTCTGGCAAGCCCACATGCGCATCAGGAGAACCTGAGAGAAATCCGTAAAGTAGCCAGCTGACAGGATGCTGGTGAGAAGATCGATCTCGGTGGTGGGGTGGATATTGAAAAGGCGTGCCAGGTTCGCCTTCATGATATCAGTGTTTTGCTGAAATGTCACGATACCTTGAGGAGCAGTTTGCTCCCAGCCAAGGACCTCAATGTAGATGGAGGGTTCAACCATGTTCATCAAAGGGCAAGCGATACCAAGGAAGGCGGACAAGTTAACAGTACCCTTGCCGAGTTGATCGCGAAGAAAGGAATAGACTTTAGCAATCAGGGCCCATTTATTTCGGTGAGGGTCGCCGCCCCAGAGCTGGGTCAGGAAACCGGAGGCATTCTTCTGCTGGGTATCGGGGAATAACTTCAAATAATAGGCTAGATCTGGTCAATACGTGCCATGAGCAAGCGAATGTTTACTCTTACTGCGAAAGGCCATGAAGGCGTTAAGAGGGCGCTTAGCCCTCGAATCCGAGGTACCTAGAGGGCCATGGGGTTTGATTTCGCCTTCGAAGACAGGAAGATACTCATGACCGAACAGATCAAGCATTTCCTTCAACATGTGAGGAGAAGATAGAGCCTCGGCCAACCGGTTTGGAGAAGTTTGCGAGACTGCACGCATGGTTGCGATCTTGGACACGTCGTTCAAAGCCGCGACCTTTTGCTCATCTTTGGCGGCGTTGATCAGAACTTCCATGTTGACAGCGACGAGTGAGAGAAAGTAGGAGCTTGATTTAAGTAGATGGTGGGAAACACTGAATAAAAAGAGTGCCAGTTCTAAAGCGTGAGTTGTCAGAGGTTGGATAGAAGAATTTCTGAGCGTGGAGAGAAGTGGTGTTAATAAGTAAGAGGTCTGGAGGGTGAGAAGACGGGGTGTATGAATAAATTCCTTGGCAGGAACCTAAGTACCTAGTAGGAAGTACCTGAACAATAGAATGAGGTGGTAGGCAGTGTTTGACAGCCGCCGTTTTCTTAGCGTACTACGGGTAGTTTTGCAGATGCTTGACAGTGCCAAGGCGAAACCGACTGAACCATTCGAAGAATTTGTGACTGGCTTTGACCGCATTGATTTGAATACCTAGCTAGAAACTTATACTACGTATATCTCCTTTTGCACTCTACAAGAAACCTTGCTATGGCTTAATTGGCCACTTCATCCGGCAGCTCTTGATTGAAGGTCAATACCAAAAGGCCTTGAACAGGAGTCTCTGCGGGATCCCGGTGACGCTCGATTGCATAAACCGCAGTTGACATGAAAGGCAGAGTCAGAAATCCACTCGGGTCTGCACGGGGCTTTTGAATTGCAGGAGTATGGTAGAGGAAGTCGTTCCCAACGCTAACGAGAGACTCAGCTGTGTGCATATCAGGGGCGATGTTGGCGTATCCTCGCCCGGAATGTTGAGCAAACCACTTGAGCTGCAAGGTTTTTACCTCCTCGGAGAGCTCAGGAAGTTGGTTTGGTGGGTGCCGAAGAAAAGCGCGGACCAGATTGTACTTTGCCTTGAACTGCCCGGCGAGAACGATCGCGTTGTAAGGCAGAATGTACTTGGTCTTCGCGTGAGGCGTAGGATTTTCGTTGGTTGAAAAGACAGGCAGCTCCGTGTTTCTGATGAAGTTGTTCCATGGGGACCCGGGTACTCGTCGATACGGATGCCAGTCAGGGGCTTCGCGGTAGAATTGTTCACTTAGGGATCTGACGAGGAGCTTCTTCCCTTGCTGACAGATCCGGACGTTGCCCTGAGCCGCGCCGAATTCGAAGGCCGGGGGCGTCGTGAAGACTTCGTCGTCATTGTATACGTTGCCGGAAATGGAGACAAAGACCCTTAGGAAGAGCTCTCGCGACTTAGAGATGGGCATGTGGCTAAGGTGGTTGAACGCGAATCCTTCGAGATGAGGCCCGATAGTGTAAGTAGCATACAGAATCGCGAGGGTGACCTTCGAAATCAGGGAGGCAGCCTGAAGTTTAGGGTGTTTAGGGTGAGCCCACTCCTCGAAACCTCTAAGAATGGTCATAAAGCCTAAGTTGGCGATTGGGTGATGGCTCCGGTAGCCTGGGATCCAATGACGAGGCATGCCAGTTGGAGAGCGAACAGACTGATGGGAGTAGAGGACAATGACAGCTCCGGTATACCATCTCACAAGGGCGGCATCAATGATGTTGAGCGGCGAGCCATACCTAGCCAATCTGATATGAGTAGCTCGGATTCCGTTGAGGAGCTCATTATCGATGGATAGGTCGGTCATCACTTGGTTGATGACGAAGAACACAGAGCGAAGAACATCTATTCAGAAAGTTAGGTTGCTGTCATGCTTGAAACAATAACGATATCATTACCCTTTGGATAGAATTTCTCCCCCTCTTTGGGCAAGTCGATTTTTCTTAGGATGATGCTGAGGATCTTGGCATGGAGGGCGTCGAGAGCCTTTTCGGGCTTGTAGATAATCGCTGGATCTTCCCATAAAGGGCTGAAGCTGAACGAGCTGTCCATGGCTGAGGACACGATGATGAAAAGTGTGGGTGTTGTGTAGGAAAGAAGAAAAATAAACAAACATAGAACTCAAGTGTGCGAAAGATACCATCACCGCCAGCCGTCTGGCAGTGGCAGCTACAGGTTTCACAGATTTGTTACATTACATGACGTAATAAGCAAACGAGTGAATAATAGAGCTCAGAGCACACCTTAGCTGTTTGTTATTGACAATCTCAACAGACTGTCCTATTGTTCATATTACTTTTGACTTGCCTCAGTTTGTCGCCTGCATCAGTTTCCCCATGCTGGCGCATCAACTTCCTTTTTGCCATTTCTTTACCACAGAGAATACTCAAATTTCAGTTGCCTACAAGAAAATCCCTCTCATCGTTGACTATTGATCGCTTGTCGTGAGAATGCCTGGAACTTCGAAAGGACGCTTACGTGAAGGTCCTCTGGGCATTCTCATGCCCCCGGAAGCCGAAGTTCCCATCACTATGGTCTACAGCCAGTCGCAAGCCGATATTCACATCTTTCTCCCAGAGAACGCTTCTCTGATGCTCATCAACCATGTTGCAGACAAATTCAGGTAGGACACCAAATCTTTGGGTAACACTACCATCTAACTATTATAGTCGTCGCGTCCAACAACCCGTGAGAGTTTTTCATGACAAAGCACGAAGCAAGTACCGCCTTTGTCCAATTCCTGAAGATGTGAGCCCCGATACCTCGACTTATGGGAGATTTTGCTTCACTCGTGGTATGGTGCACAGGAATAATTTCGAATGGTACCGCTCTGACACATTTATAGACCAATCCACGCCAGTGAAGGTTTCCGACGAAGATCCAACTGTCGGCGAGGGAGGGTGTCGAATCCCACGCCCTAGGAACTGCTGGCTTCTATATCGTCAGTCCAAGTCACAGGAGATCACAAAAAAGGTTGAAGGAATCACGGCCTCTGAACTTTGTAGGTACATCGTCCTGGAGAGCTGGACAATACTAACTTATACCGAGCGAGAGTGATCGGCAGGATGTGGGATGAAGAGACACCTGAGATTCAAGCTTACTGGTATGATATGGCTGAGAAAGAAGAGTTCAACCACAAACAACACTACCCCGGGTACAAATACACCCCCGCGAAAGAGCCTGACCAAGAGCTGCCTTGAATCGCTCGAACTAGCCAAACCTCTCTCTGGGTGTGAACAGGCGACCTCCTTTAGTGGACGCAAATGATCGGCAACGGAAACAAACACATGAGCTTCTACATGGAGATTGCTTCATTATCCGACGTTGATGTATCAATTAGTTTCCAAAAGCTCTCATAGGGCTGAAGTTTACCGATACAAGGATGGGCTCCATGGAGAAAATGGGTCTGCAACCCACTCGCTTTGTTTATTGTTGCACTAGGTAGTAGGACGCATCTCTTCTCTGGAGACAGGAAGCCTAATGGATAGGTCGCTAGCACATTGACAACGTATCGTGTTGTTCTGTGGTGGACAGAAGATACAATAGAGACCAAAGACTCAACTCTATCGTGGTTACGATGCTATCGGTGACATGACAACTTGGTACTATTGATCGTAACACATATAAGTTCCCTACCGGGCAGCTCTAAACGTAGTGTATATACAAAATTCCCAACCAGACTCTTGCACCCCCAGGTCCCCGAATTTCCATCATGAGCCAGTCCAATCACTGCTCCATATGAATGTACTGCAGCGCCACTCCGAGTTTCTCTCCTTCTCTCCCGATGGTCCTAGCGGTCGCGGACAGATGTAGAACATTCGACCTGTAATGTCATCAAAATTAGCTTTCTGAGTTTGACTTTGCATCGGCAAACGACGTTGCAGCCGCGGCGTTGTGTAACGGCAACGCCACCACATGCACTTTGGATCAGCTGCCGCTGTATAACGTACCACAGTTGACTCCGGGCTTCTTGGTGGTGAAGCTGATGCAGGGTTCGTCGTGTTCACATCTTGGTGCAACCCTCTTACCCAGCAGCTTGGACCACGACTCCTTGGCCTCGATCGGGTCAAACACCCTGTCAGAGGGGTCGGGATCCTTGCCGCGTAGAGGGACGGTTGGTGATGACTTTTCTGTAGGTGTAGCCTGCGGGGTATTCGATAGTCTCTGCGCGCTTGCTGGCGCTTTTCCTGATCCTGCAGGTTTCTTTGTTGTAGATGGCGTCGAATTTGCCGCTACTAGCTCTGCCTTACCATCTTGAGCTGCGGGAGCTTTTGGCTTGAAGAATCCCTGTAATGTTCGTTGGCCCTGCGCCACCTTGCTCTTGGTGTCGTTGGCGCCTGTAAAAGACTTGGTCTTCTTGAACGGTCGACTCGTCGTGTCAGCGGCCGTTCCAGGTCTTTTGGAGCTAGGCTGAGACGCTGAAAGCTTAGTTGAGTTGGTGGTCTCGCCCAGCCTCGGTGTGGAGGAGGCGTTGGTCGGTGACCCTGAAGCTTCTTCTGCTTTGTCGAGTGACCCTGAGGCGCTACTATTTCCGTTCTTCAAGGGTTCTGCAGGTGTGTCTGTCCTCGTCGGCTCTCGTGGAGGAGCGGCTTTCTTTGTGAACATATCGCGGATGCTCTGCCGGCGGTCAAATTCTGGTATCAGCTTTGAAGACAAAGGAAGATGATCCTTTGGGCTCCAGTCTCGAAGACGCTCGTCCCCGTTGAACATACCCGGGGGGTTCATCATCTCGAGCAACGCACACTCTTTGTCGCCCACCGTCACTTTGTCCGACAAGTTCGCAAAGACCGGGCAATGGTCAGATCCCATCAAACCCTCCTGAATATTGGAGTAGTTGAACCAGCTCTTGATGCCATCGCTGCACAAGACGTAGTCAATCCGGCTGCCGTTGTTTGCAGGTCGTGTGTTCCGCTTGGTATCCCAACATGTGTTCATCCCCACTCGCTCCGGGTGAAAGCAACGACAGAGGTCCCAGAGAACAGGCTTTTCACGGCCTTGGTCTCTTTCGCCTAGCACACTTCCCTCAAATATGAGTTGGTTGAAGATGCGCCGCACAGGTGCGTTCATCCAGTCGCTGAGATCAATCCCTTCCTTGCGTAGTGTCTCTGAAACATTGGTTGAGTCAAGCTCGGAGCGAACGACATTCAAATCACCGGTGAGGATGACCTGCTTGCCTGCGGCGACCAAGTTCCGTATTCTCACTTCCAGTGCTTGGAAGAAACCAGTGCGAAAGTCATCACGAGTCTCATCTCGGGTTGCAGGGCTGTAAACTCCAAAGAGCACAAAACCTGGAAACTCGAGAATGACACAGCGGCCTTCAGAGTCAAGAGTCGCCTCGTCGATGATGCCGTCAAGTTGATCGGGCCGGGGGTAGCCACCAATTTGCTGGTCTTCAGGGAGGTCGCGATATCTGGTTGTAGACTTGGGAGCTGTCAAGATGCCGGTGACGCCTTCTTCTGCTCGTATAGGCGCACATTTTGAGTTGCGTGTGTAGATAGCGACGCCAGAGTATCCTGAAGATTGTCAGGTGTTGTGGCGACCAAATGAGAGTGAGTGCCGTACCTTTCTTGTGCTTCGGTAAGCTGAAGAAGACATCCCAGCCGGGAACAAGAACCATGTCATCTTGAAGGTCCTTTCGCTGGATCTTGGTCTCTTGCATAACAACAATGTCTGCTTCAAGAATCTCGAACATAGCCTGCGTGGTTGTGAGTTGAGGAGGTCAGGTGTAGGTTGTGAGATGAAGAGGTGTACTTGAAAGGTTCTCTTTTCTCTCCAAGGTTGATAACCGAAGGGATTTCTATGATGAAGAATCATTAGGGTGAGTTTTAGGGTTGCTGACTGTGAATCACGAACCGGATGCCATTGACTGCAGATGGTGTTAGTGGAAGGGCCAAGAAAAGAGCGGCCAAACTCACCATTCCAGGTGGTTATCCGAAACGTCATGATTGCAACTTATGAGATGTGGGATTTGGTGTTGAAAAGTCTCATAGAGTATCAGAAGCAAATCCCTTGAGCGCCTCACGTCTCATCCCGTGGTACTGACGATGTGGAGATCATGAGCTGAAGGATGAAGGAACTTCGCGATAGGTTGGAGAGAAGGGCGAATTGGCAGCTATAGAGAGATATATTGGGGAGAGATCGTCGTATATAAGCCCTAAAGAAGAAATGAGAAGCGCGAGAATCGTTGATCTCAAGTAATTGCCGTTTAACAACAAGACACTCGAAGTAAGAGGCCGCGATCCCTACAATGACGCAGAGCCCCACCGCGTGGTGTTGAGCCTTCGATGTCGCGCCCCCAGCACGAGATCACGTGCGCACTGTCATCGGCTGGGGGAAATTGGTACCTTACAATTGAGGCAACTTTCATTGGCGGTTCTAACCGAGCTTGTTCAAGAATGACCTGATCACAAACTTGCCTTAGACTCACCAACCGTCAAAGCGAACAACAACGTCGTCGTCCACAATGTCCGCCGTACGATTCACCCGCGCTGCCACGCGCGCCACTGCGCAGCTCCGCGCTCCCCTCCAGCGCCGATTTGCCAGCACCACCGAGAACGAGTTCATCAAGGAGCGTCAGCACATCAAGGAGCACGCTGTCGGTACCACTGGTGAGTCGACACCCGACGACGCAGGATTGGGTCAATTGGAAGCCTTGGATGTGGTTGCTGACGATGGACAGAGCTGTGGAAGAAGATCTCCCTCTAGTACGTCCGAATCCGAACCCTTGAGCGAATTACGAATCTGGCGTCGAACCCGGAGTATCGGAAGTTGGAGTTGATGAGGTCGTGATTATGCGTTGGGATAGCAATGGCTAACAAGATCGAAGTGGTGTCGCCCCCTGCCTTATCGCCGCCGGTGCCAACGCCTACTGGCTTTGGAACGAGCATTGGGAGCACTGGAACCACATGCCTCCTCTGGAGGAGCGCACCGAGTACCCTTACCAGAACATCCGCACCAAGAACTACCAGTGGGGTAACGGTGACAAGGTGAGTTTGGAATGGATATTCTGGTTCAATGGCACTTTACTAACATTTCACAGACTCTCTTGTAAGTTGTGACATCATTCCGGGCAAGAGCTTCAAAAGAGCTTCAAGAAGCTTGGATGCCAGCTCTCACGCCATTGAGCTCCGAGCTATCATGCTCTATGACGTTTGTGAATATCATACTAACTATGTACAGCTGGAACGACGAGGTCAACTACCACAACAAGGACAAGGCTTCCTAAGTATGATCTGTCGACAGCTCATGCGTTGGACAATTGCTGGACTACTCCGTCATGGACTACTCCCTCTGGAGATACCTTGTACATGTTCCCTAGACTCGAATTGACTGATTGTTGAAATCTTTACCATCGCTCCTAAGTATGCTGAGGGACATGAAACTGGATGTGCCGTCCTGTTTCTACTATTATCATAAAAGATGCCTGCAAGTTTTGTCGTAAAAACCACCAATAACAGGTCATTTCCCCGCTAGTTCTAACTGAATTTACTCTGTATTCTTTTCCAAGCATGTTCTAAATATTGTCTTGACATTATCCACGCTCATTGTTCTCTTCATCTGGCTCCCATGCTTCAGATTCGGGCCTTAGACAGATTTTACGGAAGTCAAGAACTTAAGTTCAACGGAACATTGTATCGACTAAATAACGTATCCGGGTTGGATTAATATGATTAGAATCGTAACCAATTCACTGTATATCCTAGTTCTGCCCTTTTGACGTCGTGATACATATCCACCAATTGAGATTGTGTCATCCCACTTTGAGTCGCCTTGACAGGGATACTCCGAAGATGCCCCGGCCAAACAACAAACACCAGTAACGAAACACTCTACAACCAGACGCGCCAACCGAGAGGAACAGTTGATATCCTCATCTAATGGGAGCTTGTTGACGCAGATGGGAAGGTCAGAATATCGTTAAGGTAGCTAGATTATATCTGGGCAGGAGTGATCTAATCTGTTAACAATTCGACAGGCGCGTCTTGGTGCCGACTTGAAGGGCGCTGGTTTGAACCCTTCTCACTCTATGACTGTTCGCATCTTCATCTTCATCATTCACCATCACTCATAATAATAGTGCGATTGGTTCCGACTAAAAATGGCTCGCTATCTCAACCCGGCCAAGATTGGCCTTCTCGCTCTCGTAGAGCTCTACGTTGAAGGAGCTGTACCAAGTGATGCTATCCTTCCTGTGCTCTCCTTCGTCACCTCTCATCTTGTGGATCATTCTTCACCAAAAACATCCGCCGATCAGTCCGAAAGATGGAGCAAGGCAGAGAAAACCGTCGGCCTCGTCATAAGCATTAAAGAGTTTGAGAAGCTTCTTGGGAGCTACCCCTTTCTCATGGGCATGCCTGGACGGAGGTTATGGGACCAGTTCTTGGGCAAACTATGGGATATCAACTCATTGGATGCGCTGCACAACTTTTTCGACAACCTATCCGGCTTGTTGGCCAAAACCAAGGAGGAGCGTCAGAGACTGGCTGAGTTGGGCCAGCCAGTGGAAGAGGAAGAAGGCATCAGGCTCTCAGCGAACTCTCCCTTTGGGGCTTTTGTGCGCAGATCGCGACTTGAGTACCAGCGATTACGCTTCCACGACTGCACAGAGCTATGGAAACATTTCGTGCGATATCGACAACCAACAGCCCCTTATCTCAAGCGCAAGATCCCGGGCTTCGGACGGCTGAGTTTCGACAATGTTCTCTTGGTGGGCGAGCAGGAAGATTGGGACCTCAAGAGCGTTATGGACTTGGCCTCTGTGGCGTACGGTGATATGCTCACAGGAGACCAAAGTGGATCGCTCCCTGTGAGCACAGATGATATCGAGAGCCTCCTGGAGTTCCAAATCGAGCAGATGCAGAGTCAGTCATTCTCAAACCCCTTCTGTTACTTTGCGTACTGACATAGTTAGAATTTGGAAACAGAATACCCCTCGAAATCCGTCATCAGTTTCATGATCTACTCAACGACAGCTATCTCATTCCTAGTCTCACACATTATCTCAAGTTTGTTGTCTTCTATCAACATCAGTGAACCTTTTGGCTAACATGAGGCAGATTCCTTGATGCGTGGAGAGCTGGAGACTATCCCACTGCATTCGACTATCTGCACCGCTACTTTGACTACACCATGCAGAACAGAGATCGTCTGTTCTACCAATACGCTTTGATGAACTTGGCTGTTTTGCAAGCCGACTTTGGTTGTTACAAAGAAGCTGTAGCAGCCATGCTTGAAACCGTGTCGACAGCGCGAGAGAACCGAGACATGACTTGCCTCAACTTCGCCTTGAACTGGCTCTTCCACTTCGGTCGTGCACATCCCGATCTCGTCCAGAATTTGGAATCGAACAGCCTGCTCGGTACTGGCAAAGAAAGCTTGGCCTTTCTCCGTGTTAAGGCCAGAGAGACAGGGATGTTCACGCTATGGAGCTCAGTTCTCCTCAGCGAAGCAAAGCTCGGACTATTGAACGGTGACAGTGTGGCTACGGCTTTTGAGTCGATTGTGCGGAGCTCTCACATCATCATAGAGAGGAACATGAACAACATGTTTGGGTCTTACCTTTCTCTCACTTCAGCTCTATGGGACAGGCTTGGGCTCTCGACCCTGTCGTCAGCGACCTGCGAGGTCTTCCTGAAATGCCACGCCCGCAATGCCATCTTCGATGATGAGCTGAAGTTGACTTGCCGACTCGCTCTATTACTTGCTTCACGAGGAAAATATGACGATGCAATGACTAAACTGGAAGACTTGGAGGATAATTCACTGAGATCCTGGAAGCCCAGTCAGTACTGGCACAAGTACCGAGGTGTCATCAAGCTGAAAAGAGACTTACATCACAACAATCTCGAAGGAGCTGAACGGCTTCTATCTCAGATCCTCCAATCAAAGATGGATGACCTTGAACCTGATATGGCGTTTTTGGTGGACACCCTCCACATTGACTATCTCACTCGTCGTGGAGATCTTCAAGCAGCCTTTGCAAAAGTCGACAGCATGATGTCGCAGCTAGAGAATGAGAAGAAGGATGTGGTACTCAAGGTCAAACTCCTACTCCTAAAAGCCTCCCTTCTTGACAAGTGTGGCCGGCCGCAACGAGGGTTTACAACAGCAATGCGGGCAGCGAGTATATCGTGGGGAGCTCGTCTCATACCCTGCCTCTGGCAGGCGATTGGTTCTGTGTCGAATATTTTGGTCTCTTTGAAGGAATTTGAAGCAGCTTCTCAGCTTCTGTTGGCCGTCATACCCCGTTCCCTGGAGTGTGAGACTGAGAGTCTGACAGCCCAGCTCTACAGCTACCTCGCCGATGCCAACATGGGACTTGCTGGTAATTGCGAACCCAAGTCAGCCAAACGATCGGAATACATGACGAAAGCTCTCGCAGCTGTACAGAAGTCTTTCGATCATTACTCAAGCATCGAAGACATCAATATGCAATGCCAGATGATGGCAAAGAAGGCAATGATCATGAAGCTGACTGGGGATATGATTCTGGCTGCAGATTACGCTGCAGCGTACGTGTCATTGCGGAAAACTGCTGAATCACTCAGTCTTGACGGGTAGGAGTTGGTAATGGCAAATATAAATTATTGGCATGGCTAGAAACGAGATATGGGAGTTCATTATACCATTTATTTATACAGGAACGGGTAATATTTCAGCCAGTCCTAGAGAGGGTTCCTATCCAAGAACATGAAGCTTTACGAATACACACGCAATGATGCTATATCCCCCATATAACACCAAGAATGCTTGTTTGTCTACCACCGTACTTTTTCGCCCTTCTTGTTCCTTAGCTGGCCTCCCTCTGCCACAGTCTCAGCCTTGGGTTCTTCTGTCACTTCTACCTCACTGGGATCATTGGTGGCCCACGCTCTCTCGATACACAGCTCAAACGGACCATCAACACGATCTGTTAGTCCAATACCCACGGTCAAGACCTTCTGTCGAAGCATCTCAGTCTGAGGTTCCACCACAAAGCCGTGATTCGTCCTGACAAAGTCGTTCCATTTTATCAACACTGTTTCCCATTGGCCTGGACGCTTAGGGAATAATCGATGTTGATGTAAATCTGATGGTTCGACACTCTCGGTTTGTAAGTTGACGAAGTAACTGCGGCCATCTGACTTGACACGCAGGGCGAGGTAGATGTATGGATCAATATCCCACATGGAACGGCCAAAAGCAGTGGGCCTCTGGTCTGGGGATCGAAAGCCGGCAAAGCCAGTTCGTTGGATATCGGGGCGGTCGGAGGGGAGGCGAGTAGAGATGTTGCCATGAAAACGGGCATAGGCGGAGGGTATCTTGGGGTCGTTGTTGATGTCGGGGGACTTGTGGAAGTCGAAATTACTCTCTGAGAAGCCACCGATGGTCTTGTCAGTCATGACGATGCAGTCGCGGACGCTATCGGCGGTGTTGAACTCGTAAAGAGGCTTGGGCTGTGTAGCGCCTTTGATGGCCTCGAAGCTCACAGCTGCGACAGTTAGCTCCTCAACATTATGAAGCTTGAGTGGAATCTACCTATTTGCGTGCGCCGTCTGAGCTCATCCATACTTCGGCCGAAGAAGCCTCTTGAGAAGAGTGTTTGTGAGGCCCTCATGATGGGCAATTTTGGTGTTTAGATATGATATCGAGTTTGGAGCTGTCGCAAGTAGTTTACTAGAGCCCAATTGGCTCACCGAGAGTCTAATAACATGAGATATGAGCAGGACCACAGTAAAAAGACTAAAATTGGCCCTTTGGTCGAATTTCAGGCCGTTGAGCTATGATGCCGTTGTGAAGTTGCGGTTCTGCAACTGGGGATATTGATAATTTACACATGTCTAGCATGTGCCAATTGATTCAATTCAAGCTGGAGATCCCCCACATTTTCACCACCCACCGGCATCGGTAGGCGGGGCATATTTGATCCGCCATCAGCCCAGAACCCAAGAAATTCTTCAACGGCAGAAGACGTAGTTTGCCGAAGCCAGCTCAAGCTCGATAATGACCCTGCGCCGCGGGTAACCACCGGGTGTCCCTGTAAACCATTCCCACGTCTCGATTCTCTCGGTTCAGCAAATTCGTGTAAAAAGATTCGCCAATGTCTTCCTCGGCAATGGCGCTACGCCCGGCCGCTCTGCGCCAGAGCGTTCTCGGAGCGGCGAGGGTACAATGTCGACACATGTCGATGCCCTCCAAGGGAAAGATTCTGCGAGAGATGCAGAAGGCGGCTTATAAGGATACCAAGAAGACGGATACTCAATCGATGTCGGCGATTCAGAAGAAGGCCAACGATGAGTACTTTAAGGGTGGAGGTGGCCCTCTATTTCCTGGTGAGTTATGATGGGGATTATTAGGATCCCAGACTTCTCAATGCGCCGATTGAGGCTGTAGACAAGTAATTTGAACCATGAGAGAAGACTAACAGCGCAAAAGGCACATTTGTCTCTCTCCCATTCTCACGATACCCCTCCGGCGCCTCCAACCTCTTTAACTACTCATGGTACCGACTCCGACAATTTGGATTCGAATACTTCTCCCTCCTCCAGATGAAGCTCAAGTCTATGCCTGACTGGACAACACGGCCAAAGTGGAAAATCGCCCGAAGCAAGATTGCGCCCACAGCGAAGAATATGTACATTGAGATGCTCGGGGCTTTTGCTGCTGGTGACAAGGCTGCTGTCAACGAGTTATGTCTGGGTCAATTCGGGAAGAAGCTCATCGCCGCTATCGATCGTCGGAATCCCGCTGAACGTGTTACATTTGAGCTTGTCAAGCTCAATTCGACATGGGCGTACCCTCGTGTGATGGCACACCAGGTCCACAACGTGAACCCTCACGATAAGGAACACAGCACAGAGCAGGCCGTTGTTGCGATTGCCTCAACACAAAAGGTGGCGAAATACAAGAAGGCCACCGGCGAGCTCATCCCCGGAAGCACAAAGGTGCAGGACAAGATGGAATACGTGGTAGTGTCACGACAGATCAGCGAGAAGACATTCCAGGCTGGGCCATGGCGTATATGGGGAACCATTTCTCCAACAACACTAGAGGCGTTCCAGGAGGAGCAGGACTGGATCACCAGGGAGCAGGCCAAGCGAGCTGGATGGGAAGGGCCTCTGAAATAAAAAATAAAAAAGGTGCAAAATTGTATGAATGCGCTGTAATGCTCATGATGTTAGTGAGCGGAGGAGGGAACATGTAAAATGAGAGTGTATATTGTACGATGAGCATGTTTTGTACTATATTTTAGAATACCTTAGCATTGAGACCGGCGAACGGACGGCTATCAAGTTCTTCTCCAGTTCAGTTCAAGGGATCAATTGTTGATATGTGTGATGGTGCAATTGAGAGCATGTTTGAAGATCATATGCAAAACGTGACATTGAAGACAGTATTATTGAAAGGCATATGAGAGCAGGTCGTTTGATTTGGCATTGGATGTTGTACAGTGGTATTTCTGCTGGATTATGAAATACTGGGGATGCCATATTCTAGGTTGTCATTATGGTATTCCTGGCGTCTTATCATAGAAACCGAGTGCTATCACCAGGCAGGTCATGGCCTGTCCTGGCTCCGTTTTCATCGGGACAAAATAATTGATTAAGCTGGCAGACGTAGTAATTCACATGCTATGCGAGTTCTGAGCTAGTGCTGCAGGTCTGTAAAAAGGTTACAGCATGGGAACTACCGAGTTGAACGATGAGGTTTAGGCTGAAATACTGGTGTAAATCTTCTTGATTAACCTGTCGATTACTTTTCGCCAAACCTTCCAACCACGAAACCGATGTTATGTCAAACCCCCAATTGATTGCCAAAATTTTATGATAGAACAGAATCCAGAGGCATCTGCTTAGTGTCCCCCTTTAAAAGAACTTGCCAGGTGTCGAAGAAACGAGGTTCTCAGTGGGGACATCCTCCTCCGTGCTTGAAGGACGAAGGTCCACGGGGCGATCAAGAGCATCAAAGCGATGTCCTCGGATCTTAGCAGACATGTACTGGTAAGAAAGACGGAGGGCAAGAGCACCACAGCCCCAGAGAAGACTTCCGACAGGGGCAGCGACGAAAGCGCCAAAGGCACTCCAGTCATTGCCGTAGAGACCCTTCTGCACAAGGAGAAGCTCACCGGCCTCCTGAGCGTTGCCGTAGTAGATGCATCCAAAGATGAAGACAGTCAGGATACCTCCGAGACCACCGACAACGACCTCAAAGCCACGCCACCAGTAGAACTTGTCGACGAGACCGATCACCAGGACGGGAATTGTAGCAGCGGAGATGAGATCGGTGATGAGCCAGATCTGAAGAACGGAGGGGGCCTTGAGAGCGATGACGATGACGGGGATGATGATGAGAACGACAAAGGCACGGATGTACCAGATGTTGAGCTTGTTGCGGAAGAGATCGTTGGAGCCGGAGGAGACCATAGCAGACTGAAGACTGTCAAAGGCAGCTGTGCTCATGGTGACGACCATGACGAGCACAATGCCAACAACCCAGCTAGGAAGGGTCTCGAGGAGCACGAAAAAGGCGACTGATCCAGAACCAGCAGCATCCTTGAGAGACAGAGCCCCGGACCAAACGGCGATGAGACCAGTGGAACCAACAAGAGTGAGGATGCACAGAATGACGATAGTGGCGATGGTGGTACCGATTCGAAGATCCTTGTCAGTCTTGGAGGCGAAGGTTCGGAGCCAGAAGGAGGAGAGGAAGAAGTCGTTGGTCAAGACGGCAACGGGGAGGATGTACAGAAGCTGCCAGCCGAGGAGGTTGGATTTGGTGAGACCAGACTCCTCGATGAGAGGTCGCTGAATCTCTGTCTTCGCGCCAATGGTGATGGCGGCGATAATGACGAGACCGATAACCATGGTACCCTGGGCAACATCGGTGATGAACGAGATTCTGAATCCGCCGAGGGCTGTGGACTGTTAGACAAGTCATCTGACCGCAACACAGGGAAAACTCACAGGTATAGATAGTTGTGACAGCGCACTGAACAATCATAACCGGAAGGGGCTTGAGGCCAGTCATGGCATTAACAACCTGTCCAATAGCCGACAGCTCACCAACCATGTACAAGAACAAGGTCACAAGAGACATGAAGCTCAGATACAGCATAGTGATAACACCGTATCGCTGGCGAGTCCACTCGGTGAGGACGAAACCCTCAGGGCATCGTCGTCGGATGATAGGGCCAAGGTATCCAAAGATGAGCATGGGCAGCGACGACGCAAGAGCGTAGACGATCATGCCCTGGACACCAGAAATGGTGGCCAGCTCAGGATACGAGAAGAGAATACCGGATCCGAGAGCTACAAGAGTCAGTTGTCATTCCAACGTTATAGGGGGGCAGGGGATAGATTGGAGCGGCAACACTTTTCCCACGCAAGCATTAACTTGATCGAGTATTTACGGTACAATCTCAGCTTCGTCGTCGCACGCCAGGATCTCCTCAGAAAGGTCACATCTGCCATCGCAAACATGCTCCGAGGTTGGATCCGGACGATACGTCAACTCGGCGCCCGTAGTGAGCCGCATCCTCTCCCCCCAGCCTCCCGAGATTGCCTCTCTGGAGCAGGTAGTTCGAGTAGCCGAGCTCAGCTGAGAGTGACCTCAACTGAGCTGGATGGGGTTAGTAGCAACAGAGTCTGAGAGCAACTCAGGAGGGGTAGGGGGGAGAGAAGGAAGATCTTCTTTCAATGTACGAACCTGCTCGTTCATCTTCTGACTGGTATATACTCGACCGAGAAGTTTCAGGCTGTAGTCTCTGTGCGAGGTCTCACAGCCGTGTTCTTCGTTTTTGCTGACATGTTGCAGTTTGCCACCGCTCCGGAGTGTTGTAGCAAGAGCTCTTTTGGCTCTACTCACCGGAGGCGATGAAGTTGAGGGCCAAGGGGAAGGCTGTTATTGTGGTTAGTTTGTGTTCTCTGTAGTTTGAGCTGAAAATTGAGATGTTTGTGAGTGGAGGGGGCAAAGAGTTGCCTTGTCACCTCCCACAAGCATTTCGTAACTGGGGAGGGATTTCCTGACCCGTCTGAGTTCCATTTCCTGAAAGGAAATCGGCCTTTGACTGATTTCTCATCTTCCAAGCAATGCCGGTTCCCATCAGTCTGTTCTGATGATTAGCTTCAATACGAAAATGTAAGCGAGATCGGAGACAAACAGAAACAGGGCATAAGTGACGTAGATGACGGCATTGGACGCCGTGTACGAGGGAAAACCCATTGTGAGTTGATTTCAAGTTGACGATTCTTCGTTGATGAGATGCGTTTGTATCTTCCTTCGGTTGAAATTATCAATTGACGTGGTGTAAGTGAAGAGGAAGAGAGAGGGCGAGAAAAATTGCAACTCAAGTCAATTAAAAAAGTCGCTCCTGGCCTGGTATGATTAGTTAGCGTAGGAATAGAACCTCCTTCTACACCCGATTTAGTAACGTTCTATCGCCAAATTGACTGCATAACGTCCGTCACCCAAAGACTGGCCACCCCCACAGACCGGCCACCCCGACCAAAACACCAAGAACCGGATATCATGATCAATTAACTAATT